CCGGTTCCCGGTCCCCTTTTCCCCCCGGCCCCTCACCCCCGGCCGGGCCGCACTCACCGCCCGGGCCCGACCATCTGCCCGCGGGGAGGAGGGAAGTGGGGCAGCCCACCCTACGTAGGGGAGGTCAGGACACACCATCTACGGAAAGGACGTTTTTGCCTCAAAAAACGCTTTTCCTTAACCTACCCATCTCTTCGTGAATCTTCCGCTCATCGATGTCGGTCCGAACGGCGGTGCAGCCACGGGAACGGAATTCCAGCCCCCGCTCCGCGGCTCGCCACCCCCCCGCGCCACCGCCCGCTTGGTTCGTTCCGGGGAGGGGAGCCATAGAGCTGGTCCTCCCGCGACGCAGAGCGGCCCACTTCCGCATGGCGCTCCACAGAGCAACAGCGCCCCCTGGGCTGGAGGCTCCGGGGCGGTACTGCAGGGGTCTGGGGGTGTCCGGTGACCCCCGGTGACCCCCGCAGTGTCGGGGGGGCACGGCGACAGGGGACGAGGGGAGAGCACGGGGATGTCCATGGGGACAGGGGCCACAGGATTCGTGTGGGGCCATGGGGCCACAGGGACATGGGGGACACTGCTATGGGAACATGGGAAAAGCAGGGACATGAGGACATGGGACCACGGCAGCGTGGGGGACACGGGGACACAAGGAAAGGAGGGACATGGGGACAAACGGACACAAGGCACACAGGGATAGGGACAGAGGGACACAGGAGCTACTGGAGACAGGGACAGGGTGGGCACAGGGACAGGGGGATGGATGGACACGGGGACATAGAGGACAGGGAGAGATGGGAATGGGTGGATATGGGGACATGGAGGACACGGGAATGAATGGACATGGGGGACACAGGGACATGGGGGGCACTGCTTTGGGGACGTGGGAAAAGCAGGGACACGAGGGTGCGGGACCATGGCAGCTTGGGGGACACAGGGGCATAGGGAAAGGAGGGACATGGGGACAAACGGACACAAGGCACACAGGGATATGGGGACACAGGGCACAGGGACACAGGAGACACTGGAGACATGGGAATGGATGGACATGGGGATATGGAGGACACGGGAACGGATGGACATGGGGGACACAGGGGCACGGTGACACAGGGATTTGGGGCACCAGTGTCAGGCCACACGTGCTGGTGGTGGGGACGTGTAAACAGCAAGGAGGGCTGAGGTGGTGGCATGTCACCGGGCAGAGGGCCGGGCACGCGCCATGACACACGTGTCTGTGCTGCGGAGCCCTGGGGTGAGCGGTGTGGCCAGCATCAGCCCTGGGGCTATTTTTACCTGGTCCTGCTGGCACCATCGTCCCTGGCCCCCCGGCAGCAGCCCCTGCCAAGGGGACGGAGCAGGGGACAGGGCAGGCAGAGGCCAGGGGAGGGGACAGGGACCTGACACCCCAACTCTGGCCCAGCCGGTGGCCTCAGGAGGCCGGAGGCTGCCCTCCCTGGTGGCCTCAGGGTGTGGGTTGGCACCACGATGGATGATGGGACAGCCACTCCTGCCCCACGGCACAGCACAGCTATTTCTGCCCCACAGCATGGCACGGCTATTTCTGCCCCATATCATGAACAGCCATTCCTGCCCCATGGCACGAACAGCCATTCCTGCCCCCTGGCCCGGCCTGGCCTAGCCATTCCTGCCCCACAGCATGGCACAGCACAGCTATTTCTGCCCCATGGCATGAACAGCCATTCCTGCCCCCTGGCCTAGCCACTCCTGCCCCATAGCAAGGCACAGCACAGCTATTTCTGCCCCATGGCACGAACAGCCATTCCTGCCCCCTGGCCTGGCTTGGCCTAGCCATTCCTGCCCCACAGCATGGCACAGCACAGCTATTTCTGCCCCACAGCATGGCACAGCTATTTCTGCCCCATGTCACGAACAGCCATTCCTGCCCCACGGCCTGGCCCGGCCCAGCCATTCCTGCCCCACAGCATGGTGCGGTTGCTCCTGCCCCACAGCCAGAGCAGATCCGTGCCATGCCGGTAACCCCCCCACCCCCCCCCATCCCCGTGGCTCTCCCGGCCCCCCGGCCGCGGCCCTGCCGTGCGTCAGTGCTCTCCCCATGGCAGGGGTGGGCGGTGGGGGGGGGACAGAGGGGCCCTTGTTGTGCGCGGCCGCAGGGCTCCCCGGGCCCAGCAACTCAATGCGCCCCTTGTTCGGCACCGGCCCTTGGTGTCCCCATTAACATTTGCTCCAGGGCCAGGCTGTCCCCAGCAGGAGGAAGGGGACAATCCGGGGGGACCGTGCCAGCCCGGCGTGTGCCCCCATGCACCAGAACCCTAAGAGCCCTAAGAGCTGGGACGGGGACCCCAAACACTGCGCCTCCCGCCCCCCCTGCACCCCGCCGGGGGATGGCCCTGCTGATGGCCACGTCCCTGGGGACACGGTGGGGGGGCTCGGTCACGCTTCCCGGTTATTTTGGGGAGGATAAATCAGGCGGGCAACAGGTGCGGGGCCGTGGCAGCCGCCGCCGGGGGGGGGAGTGACGGTTCAAGGGCAGCGGCGTGGGCAACGTGCGGCTCCAGCACCCCGGCTGTCCCCAACCCCGGCTGTCCCCAACCCCGGCCGGTGCTCAGCCATCCCCCGCTTCCCGATCACCACCTATTCAATAAAGATGATATTACCCGGGGGGGGGGGGGGG